TTCTGTACAATCTCATTTTTACAAATGTGTTCCTCAACCTTTCCAAAAATCTGAGGGACGTTGTTAACTTGTCACGAGTATTTGTTCAAAATAGCAGCATGGGAGCCAAGATCTGCCATTCACAAAATGGTTAGGATGCCATTGCACCATCAAAGCTCCTATTGATCAGTAGCGTAGTCAAAAGAATCTAAAGCCCACATTTTTAAAAAAACAAACAAACCCTAACAATTGTAGTCCAGACAGCCAAGCAGAGACATAGCTCTAAAATTTGTTCTAATAAAACTGCATAGTTACTGGCCTTACAGAAAGAGGCCAACCTCTAGAGAAGCTTTGATCTTCCAAGGACCAGCAAAACCTACAGCATGTTCAGGGCAGGGGTCAGTGTCAGGAGGCAGCAGGACCTAACATAGATTGTACCCGAGATCATGGATTGTGGAGGAAAAACCAAGAACAAGATGGGTCCAAGGCCATGTTTGAATCACCAGTATTCACACTTGGCAGGTTAAATATAAAACTGTGGAGCCTTCATAATGTAGCTTTTTATTTAAATTGTATCTGTATTTAGTCTGAAAGTACACTATGGAGTGCCAGAGCATCACTGTGACATGTACATTTACGTGAAACTATAAATGAAACCATGAAGGATAAGGATTCCGATGCTGGTACTTCCTTTCAGATAAATTCCAGGGTTGTGGAAAGTCCTGCAGCTGGGCCCAAGACAGCCCATCTCTCTGAAATTTAAGCCAAGCAAAACTGAACGTACACATTATAGAAATGGGTAAAAATACTAAAGCTCCTTGGAAAAATCAAGTAGGCCATTTGGGAATGCACCTGGAATCCCAACTGTGTGTTTGGATTTCCCAGTTATAGCCCTAGATCTATCCACATTTTGGCTGATATATTCAAATATACCCAATATTGACCATCGATGAGCATATTTCAGCCACGGGATTGACTGTTGTATCTAGATGTACAGGGTTGCTCAAAAGTTTGTGAACTCAAGTCAAAGTTCTGACCTTCATCCCATAGAAACGTTGCTGAAGGACCCAAAGCAAGTTGTTCATGCTTCAGGAAGCCCAAGAGGCCAAAATTCCTCCAAGCTAATGTGCAGGACCAATTGACAATGATTGGGAGCATTTAATGGCAGTTATTGCTGCCCGAGTGAGGCACACCAGTTACCGACAGCAACGTTCACATACATTTACCACCTACAAATATGTAGCTTTGGATCATTTTCCTCAATAAATATAAGTATAATGTTTTGAGACATTTGTTTCTTTCATTGGGTTGTCTTTGTCTAGTTGTAGGACACATGCAGGGAACAGATCATATTTTAGGCTGTATTTATACAGAAATATTGAAACATCAAAAAGGATTCACAAACTTTTAAGCGCCACTGCAGATAGGGCTGCTTTGGAATCTAACTTTGAACTTCAAATCAAACACAAGTACCTTTTAGAATTTATGGCCTGAGAATGCAGAGGTTACCACTGCCTCAGGTAGCTTTCAGAAGAAAGCTCTAAAATTCAGGAACTGTTAGAATGAAGACCCTTATGCATAAAGTACACAATACACATTTTCCCATCATGCTAGGTTTAAAGTACATTTCTTTACTATAGGAGGAAAACTTTTGATACTTCAACAGATCAATATATTCATTATGGATGGCATACTTTTTTGCGAATATTTAATTGTTACAAGGTTCTTTGCCCTGTAATGAATTTGTTCATTTTTTTAAAATGCAAGTTTTATTTTTATGATACAAAAACATGATAACCTTCTGAATACTATTTACCAAAAGGAATAGAACTTGCAGCAGCCAGTAAGTTAGCACTACTGAAAATTAAGTCCTATACTCAAGTAGGATTACTTAATTTGGACAATTACGCTCTATGCCAGGGGTCCCCAATCCCCAATCTGTGGAACTTTACCGGATCGTGGCATGCCAGCAACCGGTCCACACAAAGAAGCAAAGCCCCATCCACGAGATGCAGGCAGCAAAACCACGCACCCTCCGGTCCGCGGAAAACCTCTCTCCATGGAACCAGTCCTTGGTGCCCAAAAGGTTGGGGACTTCTCTATACATCTTTTGGGCATGTGTGTAATCATTGTGCTTGGCAAATATTAATTTAGCAGGTACTCTGTTTAACAAGCTGCTGAAAAAAGCAACAGAAAAATGCAATTGTAAAACAAAATTTGTTTACTGATTTTTTTTAAGAGCATTAATTATAACAAATAGTGTATGTGGTCTGGATAAATTAGAGAGGGACAAGCAAGGTGTAAAAACCATTAGCATTTTAACTATAAACAGTTGGTTGAACCTGTAACTCCAAATACATAAGACACAGGTTAGTCCCATTTCCACAACATCTCTATTCCAAGACTTTCAGAAGGAAGTAAGCGTGTGATCCCTGAAGCAATGATTGCAATCTGCTGTCCAGATGACAAAAGCCAGCCCTGCGCATGGAGAAAAACCATAGGAACACCTGGGAGACAGAAAACGAAAGGAAGCTGAAGGTATCATTATAGCATCCTATACAGTAGTTCTCTATATAATACACTATAATGACATTCTTCCAAATTAATATCTGGCTGGTGTAAGATTTCCTGGAGAATACAAATAATTAGATAATTACTTCTTGGGGATTACAAAGTTTCTTGAGCTTCCTCATTCAAAGTGACACTGAAGCTCATGACTGGGCATTCTGTATACCTCAATGAGGCTGTCTGGGGGGTTACTTATCATTCCCAGCTACTGCATGAAAACACTAGGAGATTTGCAAGTATTTCACCAGCATTAAACTGGGGGCTACACAAGTTATACAACTTTGAAAGCCACAGGGCGTCATGCCAAAGGAGGAAGTGCATCATTCTATGTCAAGAGAGCATTTAAGAAGCAATAGAACATTTAGCAAATAAATCTCTAAAGCAACAGTCTTCAAACCTGGCCCTTTTATGACTTGTGGACTTCAACTCCCAGAATTCCTCAGTCACTAAATTCTTACATTTTGTTTTACACTGAAAACAATGTAATTTATGGCCTCTTGACTCAAAAAATGTAGGTTAACTTCAATAAAACTATCGTGCTTAAAAAGGGGAAACTAGAATTCATTTGTTTGTGCAAAGTATCTTTCGCAGATAATTAACAATGATCAACGCAGCTGTTCCAAAGGTTCTTTTGTCGCTTAACAGTAGTTTCCTTTGTGATGCAATCAGTATCTGTGATTTAAATAACCCATTGGGTACTATGGTACAAAAAAACTTAAGATCCCTTGATGATTTTTTTCATTCACATAACACAAACAATTCATAATTAAGATAAATTTAAGGTCAGAAAAGTTAGATTCTATTCATTATAGATGACATTAAACAAAATTCTTTCATTTAAAAAAGAGCATGCCATACACATAAAAAAATTGTATTTCAGGCATTTTTTCTTTTTCCCATGATCATTTCTAAGTGCAGCCAGTATTTGGAGAACAGAATGAAGACAAATGATGGCGCCCCATCAGCAACTCATGTTCCAACTCAGTTTTCTCAAGCAGTGTATACTCCATAACCAGGCCTTCCTTCAAAGTTAGGTTCCACTTTAAAGAACAAGCAATGTTTGTCTTCCTTGTACACCTCACCCAAAGGAACTCACTTTTCTTTCATTGTTATTCTTTCTTCTATAGTGTAGCATAAATTACATAACCAACAATAAATTCAAGAAAGCTATTATCTAACATACGCAAAGTATTATAAGGTTATCTTATAAAGCTTAGAACTAGACTATATCAAAGCATGCAAAATTCTAGACTCAAGGAATAATAAGCCATATATCTGGCAACTTTTTAATGCAGTTTTGAGAGTTTCTCCATTTTAGCTGGAATGTACAGTATTAATATTGTACATAATTCCTATTTCTAGGGCCCTCTGGAACTTTGTAAATCTCCCAAGGTTTTATTTGAATAGGTTCCTTTTATTCAAGCCAATATGTGTGTGTGTGCATGTGTGCACAGGGCCACATGCATCTTTTAGAAAAGGAAAGAGAATTAAAATGCAAAAGGAAAGATCTATGATTACTTGAAAGAACAACAAAAATTATATTTTATCAGGGTCAGATTTGAACTTTCAGTTGCATTGTTTTCTTTATTCTAGAGCTCATGGTTGCATCTATACCATTTCTGGTGTAATATTTTACTACATTAAGTTATCATGGCTAAGCCCTTCTATTCAATTTTAAGAAAACAAGCTAATTTTGCTCTTGCACTCTTCCAAGAATAAACTTCAAGACTTGTTTCTACTGAAAAATTAAATTTAGAACTTTGTAATATGTGTGGGTGCAACAGATGAAAGCAAATCATTCATGGAAATTTCAACAAATAAAATGACATTTTTTAAAACAGAAATAAAACAGAATAAAAGAACTTCTTTAGACCATTTTTCAATGGTAAAATATGCGAAGTTTAAGATAAAATCATAAATAGTGGGAGCTGCACACAGAACTATTTTTCAGCCCCAACAGAGGTCAAGTGGCTTTTATTTATATTAAAAAGGGGTCAAGTATGCATTCACTCTTACATTCATACAACTAAAAAGCATTAATTTTTGTACTCGGCACTTCTATTTTTTTTTACAGACAACAGAAAATAACAGCACTTTTGGAATTTAACAGTTGCCAAGAAAATCTAGAAACATAATCAAGGACAACTGACCACAGTTTCATAACGACAGATTTACCTCAAGATGCTCAGTATAAACAGATTATATGAATACTGATCAAAGTTTTGAAGATATGGGTAAAGACACTATTAATTAGTTATAAATGACAATTTACATTTTAGATTACATTAGAAAACTAGCGTACTGTTTTTCAGAGCAAACATTTATATATCAAAAATGAAAAAGGCCATATTATTTAATAGACAAATTATTGTCTCTTAAAAAATAGAGAATATTATTGCCTATATTATTTAATAGGCAAATTTTGCTGGGTCTACAATTAAAACCGGACATCGTGGTTTCTAAAATGTTTTATTGGTACAAACGAGTACATTTCACCACACACACACAAAAAAACTACAAGTCATAATATGTACTTTACAATGAGTGGATGCAGTCCAGGAGACAGGCACACTCACAACATAATTCTATATTTAGGCTTCTAGAACTATTTACGCTATATTTAGTTAAAACGCTTTGTGATGAAATGATTTAAACTTTCTACTTTTTATTTGTATACAAATCAATGTCAAGAAACAAACAAAAACCCCAATCTTCACAAGATAGACAATATATAGTAAGTTCTAACAGCAAGATCACTTAGAAAGGTTCTACTAAAAATGGGTTTACTTCCATTTTTAAGCCAAAGTGGAAGTAGATTACAGAACGACTTCTTCAAACGAAGTACATGCAGAGGGCCGAGGATAACAACAGTCTTGCTTTAATTGTTAAGAAATTTTACATTTAGCCGCATGAACAGAAAAGTAAAAGTAGGACTTTCCTCGGCTTGTGCGAAATGTTTTGCATTTAACTGTCCTCTGTTTGGTCAAGAGTGAAGTCAGTCTGTTCTTCTGCTTCCACTTCTTCATCGTCTTCTTCCCCCCCTTCTCCCTCCTCATCTTCCTCCTCCTCCTCTGCGGGTTCATTTGCCTTGTCTTCTTCTTCCTCTCCTTGCTGCTCTGCACTCTGATCAATGACTTCGAATGGATTTTCACCCTAAAAAAATCAGTAATTAAAGCTAATCAGAAACAAACTCCGCTCACCGAAATGTGCACTGACAGGAATAAAAAATAAATAAATCTAAAATTGGACTCCCAGTTTCCAATTCATGGTGAAAACAAGCTTCAGTATTTACTTACACAATTTATATTATGGCCACCTATTTCACCTGGTGGCTAACAGTATTTAAAATCAAAATGCAAATAACGTAAAACCACAATTACATTTCATGCTCTGTATCCTGTATCTTCTCAATTTCATTCCACTCAACTTGGACTACTTTACAATCAAGAACATATAATGAGAATAATTCATCTACAGCTCATGAATGGTCTATTTGCATTGTTGTTTGCAATTTGTTCAAACCATTATTACTGAAATTAAGTACATTACTTGTTGCAACAATACACTGAGGCAGGGGCAGAAAGTAGACTCAGTACAACCATGTTTCCTTATCTAGTCCTTCTGGACGGTTCAACTAGATGGACATAAAACCCAGACATTATAACAGTCTAGCTTAACTGCAGCAATCAGTGATTCAGAAGGGTAAATTTGACAATTGTACTTCCTAGGTCAAACGTCACAAGACATATTGGGATGAAAGCATTATGTTGACATGATAAACTTAAATTCTAGAATAATCTAATATGAAAGTAACAAGTAAAAGTTTTGTGTTGGAAGTTGTAATTTTTTTTTAATGTGCATTTATTTAAATAATTTATATGACTGCCCATCTTGCAATAGTGACTCTGGGCAGCATACAATAAGTAAAACCAAAACTAGCCAATAAACCTACTGTCGTCAAGTTGTTAAAAACTATCTGAGGTATTTAAAGAGGATATACTGGGAGAGGCAGAAAAACAATTATTTTTCGATGCCATAAAGATAGCAAAGTTCATTTTCGATCATTCAGATATACTCACTTTTTATGAGTTAGCTCTCAACTAGTATAATAAAAAGAATGATCAGCATTTTTGTGTTAAGGTTTAATTATGTCACTTATAACTTTCTTGGGTTTTTTTCTGGTTGTCTTTGGCTTCTTTTCCTTTTATCATATTAAAATGATATTAAAACAAATTTTAAAAAATACACGTGGAGCAGGCAACTGATACATGCAATTTTAAACCTTGCAAAATTATGCAACATACCTTGTCCATAAACTAAAAGACAGGCTTATGCTTGCTTCAGAAATATTTTAACATGAAAATATATGCTAACTTAATGTATAAATATGGATTTATAATGGATTAATCTAGGAACATTAATTTAATTTCCCAGCTCTTCCTTCCACTGATATGTGAGCTACGCTTTACAGCAACATGAAATGTAGTTTTGGATTTGTTAAATTCAAAGTAATTAATTTCACATCAATTTCAATCATTGCTGTCGCTGCTGCTGGAAAAATTAATCCATATTACAAACTTACCTTGACATAACGTTCATACCGTGCCTTCACTATGGGGTTATTCAAAATACTGGTAGCAGTTAGAACACTCTCTCTTTTGATTTGTTCTTTGTAAGTCTGTAAATATTCCAGAGTGCCATTCAAAAAAGCAAAAGTTGAATTAGTCAAATGTACCAAGTTGCCACTGAAGAAAAAAAAATCTCAAAAAAAAAGTTGAATTCTTACTAATTCTTGTAAATCTAAATATCTGTCATGACCATCTATACTGAATCCCATCAAGCAGGGACCACAACTCTTTATCAAACTAATTCTATGGAATCTCCACAGTGTTGAAAGGTGGGAAAGGCTAGTTACAGAACTGGACATTCGGAAAGGCCAGGGCTGCCAACATCCATAAATGCCTTAGATGTTGTTAAGCAGCTACAGTGTTTAGGCTGATGGAAAAGAGAGAGAAACTTAAATACTTATGCATAGAGTTTCATTAACTGATTTTCACATATTTTTAGAATATGTACCCTGACACCCCAACTCAAGAGATCATATGCAGTCTACTCCAATCTGAACCAAACTTGGCTTTACTTTAAAGGTATATGTTCTGACAAGCCCTGGGACCTTGAAACCAATTTGAAGACGACGGGAGTACTTCTTTTAAAACTGCATTCTACTTGTTATAGAAACATTCTCTTTTAACCACATCCCTTTCCACCCCATCTTGTCCATATGCCGCTATGACAAATTTCGTAAGAACTACAGACGTGTGTGCACCTGTGCTCTAAAAAAAAAAAAGTGGAGAGTTTCTCCTCATTCAAGAATTCTAATTCCCAGCCGCCCTACACAAACAATGTGTGCAAAATCAGTACAAAACGAATGGTGATTGGCACTAAAATATATAACTCAGTAACTGGGAATTGTACTTACCCTGACCCAAATGCCTGGGGACCAAAGCCTGCTTTCACCTGCCTAATGACTACAAGGTTGGGGCCGACTGTATATTGGGGGGAGGGGATATCATCCCAAAGAGCAGGGACAGCTGCTAGAAAGACACCCCTCCGAGGTCTCACAAGATGACACTGTTTCAAAGAAGAAGACCTGAGTGGGGGCTCCCTATTGGAGTGTATGGTATGGGCAGAAGCTGGCCTCACATGTAAACCAGTCCAATGCTTACAGATAACCAACACCTGCAACCTATAGAGACTTTGTTATATGGACACAATGGAATAAGGAACACTACCCGTGCCAATGCATTTTGGATTAACTGAAGCTTCCGGGTTTTCAGGGGCAGTTCCATACAGAGGACATAAAAACTGTAACAATCCAATCAGGAGATGATTAAATGTGATTGACCATAAATAAGCCCCCCACCACCACCAATCCATGAAAAGGTGCAACCGGAACACAAACTGAAATTATGCAAATCCACATTTCAGTACAGGAAGACTGCATTACCAGTGTAGGCTAGTGCAACCCTGCCCAGAGTCAAAGACGAAATCTTTCCAGCTCCAGGACCCGGGAAGTCCAAAATCCACAGCCATTTGGGTATCCCATCTAGATCCTCAGAGCTTACAGATACCAGGACCAATCCATGACAATTTCACTTGAGGGAACAGGCTCAGAAATATACAAATATCATCAACAAACTGTTACTGCATTCTGTGCCAACAGATTACCCAGTCTAGCATTTTGTGTAGAAGTTAAAAAGGAAAGAGTTTTGAGGTATCCTGCAAAATAGGGGTCTAGGATTAAATCACTTCCCCCACCAACCATCAGTAACTACAACAACCTCTGAAGGAAAGAGAACTACTACAAAACAGTGGCCTCTATGCTCAACTCTCTATGCCAGTCCAAAAGGATACCATGTTCAATGTATCAAAGACTAATGAGAGGTCAAGGAGGGACAGAATGGATGCATTACCCCCATCCTGGACTCACCAAATTTGTTTCGGTAACACTATTTGCATTTAATGTTGTAAGTAAGAATATGTATGGGGATCACGTCGTTAGTCTATATAAATTCTTTGCTGTAGTGTAAATGATGAATAATGGCAGCTCCAATCTGAAATAAGCTCACAATCCCTCACTACTTTCAGCAGCAGCTGAATAGGATTTTAAATGTCACGCATTTTGTCAGTATTGTTATGGTATTTATGCTCCATGCATATTTTATTTAACACATTATCAACCCAGCATGGAAGCAATTTTGTGTTTGAAAGTGTTTTCCTGCTCTTCAAGCTAAGTTTCCATCCATCTGCAAAATTTTCAAATTGGGTTCATAATCGTAACTGAGTTCTGTTGAGAACCTGATGTAATTCTGTGACAGATTTGGGTGAAATAACATTCACTGAAACATAAAATTACTTTTCTCTCAATACAGTTTTGCCTCTCAACCAGGGATTCTGGGGTTCTGTTTTTGTTTTAACTAAGCTTCTGCAGCCTGAAAAAACACAAAAACCTAGAACATTTCTGAAGACATGGTGGCACACAAAATATGAACTTGATAAATCATCTAGTGCTGTATTTATTTATATCCCACCTTTATTATTTTTTAGAAATAACTCAAGGCAGTAAACATACTGAATAGTCCTTCCTCCTCCTATTTCCCTCATAACCACCACGTGAGGTCAGTTGGGGTAAGAGAGAGGGACTGGCCCAAGGTCACCCATTTGGCTCTCATGCCTAAGGTGGGACTAGAATTCACAGCTTCCTTCCCTTTGACTGTTTACAAGATGATGTGTGGTTAGCATTCCTAAGATAACTAACGGAGGCTGTATGTATGTATGTATGAGAAAGCATGTGCACCTGCTTTCCTGCCACTTCTTTTTGACCGACTCATCTATAGCCCATCCTATAAAAACAATATAAAGATTGCATTCCTTCTTTAAAAAAATATGTTAAGAAAATCACTCCCTACAGAATCCAAAAAAAGGATCATTTTTGACACCGATAAATGCATTGGGCTACTGCATCCTCCCCATATTATACTTTTTGAAGCATATAAAAGAATTCATACAAATGTTTGGTCAAAGTAAATCTCAATAAAAGTGAAAAACTAGTTAAGAGTGGAGTTAAAATTACTTATTTTTTTTCTTATTTTATGGAGGGAGAAAACTCTGCAACAATCCTTTCTTTCCTCCTTGAAAGAAAAGAAAAACTTAAGCATCTTTGTACAAATGTTACTTTTTACCAGTTCTCATATATTTGAAGAACAGAGCAACATAAAATAAGATTAGCCATGTAATCAAGGGAGAGTAATATAGTAACCTGTATCATTTATTTTTTTCTTTGATGAATTATGCTAACATCTTACATAGTCATTCAGGGTCTTCGTAAAGAACTGACAAATGGCCTAACTACGTATCTCTAGACACCTATCACCTGCCACTCTTCTAAAATTGAACTGAGTAGATGCATTTTACCTGTTTTCCTTTTCCATGCTCTGGAGACTTTAAATGCTGCTGAACAGAACTGTGGAGTGCGGGAACATAGACGCTGCATGCAGAGCACAGGACAGTCTCAACTTTCATCATATGATCATCAGCCGTAACACCTAGAACAGACATCTGAGATTTAGTCAAAAAGGAAGGAAGGATTCCAATATATAAAAGAGAAGCAATATGGCTTTAAGTTAAAAGGGAGACAGCCATACTTTTCCAAGTATTCGATTACTGCATAATATAAAAAAAGGGGGGAATAGAGGAAGAAATTACAAGTACATGTAAGTAACTCCTCATTTAACTGTAATTGGGACCAGAATTTCCATTGCTAAGCAATGCAGATGTAAAGTGTGTAACATGACTACACACTTAGCAACCGCAATCCTGGCACTCTTGGTTACCATCAATAAGCGAGGATTTTAGGACATTAAGCAAGCATCTGTTCATGTCTTCCTGCTTGCTTCCAGCAAGCAAAGGCAATGGAGAAGCCTACAGAAAGTTGCAAGTCCTATGTGGTTCGCCAGAAGGCCAGCAGGTCAGTAAGTGGTTGCTGTGGTGCAAGTATGGCCAGAAGTGGATGCTGCGGGGGGAGGGGGCACTATGGAGCATCAGATCTCCATAATCTCATACTCCACCGTCAGGCTCCTTGGGGACAAAAAAAAAGCAGCAAGGGTGGAAGTAACTTGCTAGCTTCCCTGTTGACTTTGCTTGGGGAAGTCAACAGGGAAAACCACAAATGATGATCGTATGACTGTAGGAAGCTGCAACTTTTGTGTGAATCAGTTGCCAAGTACCCAGTTTGTGATCAAGTGACTGCATGGGTGCTGGGACAGTTGAAACTTTGAAAGCCTGTCATATGTCCCACTTGCTCAGCTCCCGTGTAACCTTTGAGCAGCCGTTGAATGAGGGGTTGTTAACCATCTGTGTGAGAACAAGAGCCTTATTGTGATCTATCCACTTACTGGTAATAGACTCTAGAGACAGATATTCAAAACATACTGAGTCTATAGCAGGGGTAGGCAACCTTGGCTCTTTTATGACTCGTGGACTTCAACTCCCAGAATTCCTGAGCCAGCTTGGCTGGCCCCTGGTCTATAGGATAGAACAGCAGTGTTGAAACAGAACACCTATTTTCATAGGCTACTTGCCTTCCATTACATCTTTTTCAGTAATCTGAGCAGCTTCCATTTGGCTTGTAGTCTGCTGTTTACGCATAGCAGTCTTCTTAAATTTATTCACCATGCACTCCTAAAACAGAAATTAATATATATATTTGGAGGAATCAAAAATTATTTTCACTGATTCCCTATTCATCTCCTACATTGTGAAATTCTAGATTCGTCAGTCGTGATTCAAATAACTATGAAATTAGGGACAGAAGAATATTACTTTCTGCAATAGTGGAGTCCTGTTCTCTTCCCTTCCTCTCCCACCTTGACAAGTATGGCATAAATTGTTTCCACAATAGAATGTGGAAAAAAACCCTCAAAACTTTCACAGCCAGAATAAGGCACTTCTACAAATCGCAGTTAACAAAAGGCTCTTGGCTTTGTGGTAGTGTATAGACCCAACAATCCTATCACATGGCAGACTACGATCAAATGGCACTATGAGGAAGATAAAGGCAAAAATATGTGCCTAAACAGCCAACCAAGGGTGGGATTAAGCAATGGTGAGGGGTGTGGTAGGGCAGAAGAGAGAATTTATCATCTGAGCTCCATTTCAGGAAAATGTCTTAGGATGACAATGTTAGAAGATCAAACAATTTCAACATGCACACAATGAACCTCTTAAGTTAAAAGATATAGATATTTCTTAAACAGGTAATAGCTATGCCTGGCTTTACACCAGCCTTTATTGTTTATGATGATGTTTTTTTAAGCCAGAAGATTAAGCTGATAATTATAGTTCCCTGGATTTACAGAATTGAAAGTTACTCACATGCAGAAACTCCATCACAACTTTGTCAAATTTGGTCTGTTTCTGAATGTGATCCAAAGTGTCCTGGTGAACAACGCTTTCAAGATGAGCTTCAATGTCTTTCTCTTCAAATGTTCGAAATTTACAGAAGGAGCAGGTGAATGCCATTCTAGCAAAAGACACAGGCACATTGTCAGCGCAACATGTACAATAGCTAACTCATCAAAGTTTAATGGAATCAAGAGAACTGGATATTCTGATTAATGAAATTATCTTATCAAACATTTAAACACTAATGAAAACGTCTCCCTGTACTTAAAACATGTTTCAGCTATATGACAAATGTAGCCATCACAAGTGAGATTGTGAGTTAGTGTTTTGAAGGCCACGGGTTTATTGACAAAGTGAAATTTGAATCTAAAATTTTCTGGCTCAAATCTTTAGCTACCATACTAGCTTATAAAACAAAATACAACTGTGTAATGGGTTTTTTTAAAAACAAAAACAAAAACAAAAAAACAGGGTTACTTAGTCTGAACTGTAAGACACCAGACAATCACCAGATGGCACCAGAAGGTTAGAATTTTCTTGTCTCTGCTATCTGGATTTTTACAGATCAGATTTGGTAGCACCAGAAAAAAAACTACCTTTGACAAAACCACTCCTTTTCATTACTGAATCTAAATAATGATCAAGGTGACTCCTCAAGATGGCTTACTGGCATTCTACTCTTGTCAAATATTTCTTGGACATTTCAAAATATTTCCTGGATATAATGGCTTACTATGCCCATAAATCACCCTTCCGCGCCCCCCGCATCCCCGGAAAACCCCAGATATATGCAGACGTGATAGGACAAGCACTGAGATTTGAATACACAACACCATGAAACAAACAGAGCCAAGGCTGTTTAGGGTAAATATTATTGTTATTATACATGCCCTTGAACTATGGGTGGGACAAGCTGACATTTCCACCACAAACCTGTAACCATCACCATACTTTTCACTATTTTTCTCTCTCCGACGCCTTTGCTTCTCTCTTCTTGCCTCAATTCGACGTTTTTCTTCCTCTTCATTTTTCACTTCTGGCTTGACGCCTAAAAACAATTAAGAGTTAAATAAATCCTTAGGTTCTAGACTTTAACCAGGGGAGAATGTGAACTTACCCTACCACCTTTCAGCATTATTCAGAATCTCATAAGGAGGGATAATTTATGCCATGTGTGATGGTAGCATCTATTGGGACAGTGATGGCGAACCTTTTAGAGACTGAGTGCCCAAACTGCAACCCAAAACCCACTTATGCATCGTCGAGTGCCGGGTGGGCGTGGCCCATTGGGTGGGCGTGGCCGCGGTGGTAACGGCAGACTGGGTGGGACTAAAAAGTTCAATCAATCAATTCCAACTTTGCAAGATCTTTTTTTTCCCGCGAGAAGTTGAAATTGACTGATTGAACCTTTTTTTTTTTTTGCACATGGCAGCGGAGGCCTAAAGCGAAAACGTTTTATAAAACCCAGCTGAAGGCCTAGGACTGGGGCAACGGCACGTGTGCCCACAGAGAGGGCTCTGAGTGCCACCTCTGGCACCCGTGCCATAGGTTCGCCACCACTATATTAGGATGTTGTTGAATTAAAAGGGAAAAAATGCAATTTTTAACACTCTGTGATACATGTATGTTTAAGGGCCATATTCTTAGGAATAATATCCAGAACTGAAGCCCAGCCTTAATGTGCCAAAATAATAAAAAAACTAAGTAAATGCTGCAAATAACAGTGGGGGATTGCCTCAATTGGAGGGCCTATAATTACCATAATTGCAGGTTTATTGTTAGATAAAATTTGTTAAAACTTAATATTTGCTGATTTTATTGTGAAGACAGCTTACAGAAACAGACAAGAAAATGCATGCAAGATTCTCCAAAATGAAATGAAATAAAAAATAAAAAGGGGAACTTCTGCTGTGAGATGGAACCAGGCTATTTGAGGCTCTTCCTCTTCCTAACCACATCTCCCTGTCCTACCAGGTCCAGCTGGAAGGGTGTGCTCCAGATCCTGTCTACTAAAGAGGTCCATTTGGCAGGACCCAAGCAACATGCCCTTTCTATTGTGGTTCCCAACCTGTGGAACATCATCCCCCTTAAGGTAAGGTTAGTCCCATCATTGTTAGCCTTTCAGAAGGACCTGTAGATGTTTGTTTTTTTCCAGCACATTTGAAGATCCCCTTGGTTGTATATTATGTCTAATGGGATGTTTTTATCCTGCGCTCTTGCTTTTGTTTTATTTTTGAAATGTTTTTTTGTGGTTGGGTTAGTTGTATGCCGCCCAATCTTACTTTCAGTGAGATAGGCAGCTTTGTAAGTTTGTTACATAAATAAATAAATCAGAAAGTCAAGAACAGACATCCTGATTTTCCCTACATGGCTAGGGAAAATCAACATACATATTAAAATGTGTAACATTCCTTATCTTTCTAAACATGTTTGTATGTCATTTTGTAGCAGCCAAACAGCTGTTCCCTCCTTTACTTGTCACTTTGAAATAAAAGTCTACCTTATTAAAAACAGGTATTAATAAGCTATCAATTTCCCAATAGCCAAACATCATCTAATGTGGAAATAATAATTAAAGCATTACACAAATACTTTGGGAAATGACTGTATAATTCCCATTACCTAAGCATGAGCAGAAAGAAGATACGAATCTAATAGCACAGAAATCGGGAAGGCTTTCTGACTCCTCATTTGTTGAACAAGAGACACACAGCTCTGTCAACTTCATAAATTATACTGTTGAAATTAAGCAAGCTTAGGATGACCAATATAGGTAGTCCTTGACTTATGACCACAACTGAGCCAAAATGTCTGTTGCAAAGTGAGGCAGATGTTACTTGTGTTTTGCCCTATTTTACAACCTTTCTTGCTACAGTTGTTAAGTGAATCACTGCAGCTGTTAAGTTAGTAAGATGGCTGTTTCATGAATCCAGCTTCCCCATTGACTTTGCTTGTCAGCAGGTCGTAAAACGTGATCACATGAGCCCAGGGCAGCTGCCAAGCTTCTGAATTTTGATTATGTGACTATGGGGATGCTGCAACGGTCGTTTAAGTGCAAAAAACGGTCGTAAGTCACATTTTTTTCAGTGCCGCTGTAACTCTGAACAGTCACTAAACAAACTGCTCTATAAGTCAAGGACTCCCTGTACTGAATTTGTTGTGGAAGAATTTTGAGTTTTGTTTCATTTGAATACACAAAACAAATTCCAGGGCCTACAATTCTTTAGTAGTAAATATCTGTATCTTACACCAGGCTTTAGTTAATGAGTCTTAGATTCCTTTTAAAAGATAAAAGAGATACATAAACACACCTGGTCATATACTTACTTCAAGCCGTAGCAGCAGTAGCATTCTATTTTACAGAACAAAGAAGCCCTCAATGTCATACATACCCTGGCCCAGGCCCAGGGAACTGCTAACCTAAAAGCCTTGGTGCTCCTAGAGATTTTGAATCCAGCCTGCAGCCTACAATCTTCTCTGTAACACTAACAGGCTTATCGAAATAGTGGAACATAAATTTAAGCCTAACAGCTGACCAAGAAAATCTGTGTATGGGGGGGGGGAAAGAGTAAGAAGGAGAAGAAAGGAACAAGCCATGATCCACCACAAACTCTGCTGATCTTTAGAATGCAGTCCAACACTTTTTTTTCCCCTCTGGTGATCATGGAGCTTGATAATAAAAAGGAGATGTTTCTCCACCACTGTTCTAGCCCCTGCCATATCCCCAATACCCTCCAAAATACTCCATAGGGATAAACATACAGTGTTGCATCTTACCTCTGAAGCTCAAAGGGTATGTAAATGAAATCCTGTTTAATTTCTTTGTAAGTTATTTGCTTGACTTCTGCAGAGAGACATTGCTATATCTTGGGTTTCAAGATCAGCAGACAAATTTAAATCCTAGCCTAGCACAGACCTGGAGAAGGGATGTTCAAGTCCATATATGAACTTGATAGCTCTATTTGAAGAGTTGAGATTGAAATATGTAAACATTTGCTAAAGTATCATTACCTAATAGATCTACAGACATACTGTTACACTAAATAAGACTTTGAATTGACACAATGGCACAATCTGAGGGAAAAATAAGTCCACTTAGCTTCATTATTAAGAGCAGTGCAGATTTTTATCAGTTCAAGGTAGTTTAATGGAAAGCCTATTACACAGTATGAGATATGTCCACAATTTTTCAAAACTTCATGTAACAAGTTCCCAGCCCGCTGCATATCATACAGATTACATCCAACAAAGCATAACTAGGGAAAAGAAGTTTAGGATAAAATTTCAATTTCAGATGTAGGGTTTTGATATTTCACCAGGTGAAACTGTAAAGGCATTATATCTCGAGTTTTACCTGATAAAACAAGTAGGCTTACCTTCAAATGCCTGATCAATGCCATCATAGGCATCTTTTGTAAAGTCTTCATCCATAATTGTGTCACAAGCTTCAGCTTCATTATCCTAATGAAAGGTCAAATGCACAAGTTTCCAGAGTAAACAGAAGAGCTGACAAAATGTGCCATATTATTTCCAATAAAGGATTTTAATCCAATTGGCTGAAGCAATTAGCTTCAGAGGAGATAATTTAAGCAAGTCAACTCCAGGTCATTATACGGAGTTAACGTGTGTCAAGCAGTCACACATCAAAGAGTCATGTTTTATATAACGGACAATTTAAATGCCGTATTTAATTATTTAATGTAAACAGTATTTGGGGTAATTGATTTATTCGTGATCTGATAGCATTTCTCATCAACTGAGTATGTCACATACAAGGACATTTGTATCTCGCTCTACTGTCAAGGCTAAACTTGAAGCAATTGTTTCCTTTTTCAAAAACTGCTGCCCAGCTTAGAAATGAAAATGTTCTTCGGCATTATTTTACTGGATAGTTACATGTTTTACTATATTGTTTTTTCACTTGATCATCCTTCATGCATTGAAATGTAAATGGAACTGTCCTATACATCCCAATGGTGCTTCAGGAAGTATTTGCCCTCAAGAACAGTCCTCTGAATTTTGTTGTTGTTGTTGTTTTGTGGTACAGATCAAACCAAATCCCCTCTTCACATCCCATCATCAACTGCAGAATCTTATCTCATACATACACCACTTACAAGAAGACAGCACACTCACATTTTTGTTCCATCAGGCTTGAATAGTGGTAAGAGGATATTACTATGGAATATCAGACTCATATATCTGTTTTAATGTTTTAGCTGCGCCACGTTCTTTTATAAATTATATTGTGTGAATTGAAACTACTTAAGATTTTGATATTACGAGTAGTCAATACTGGTTATCAGGAGACAATACTGACTTGATCACAATCAATGAATCACCACTGTAAACTCTCAGCTGCCTAAAAAGAGTTCAAATGATTAACTATTTTTATAAATGTATCTACAGAGAACTCAGATGTAGTTCAGAGATTCTGATGCAATTTTTTTTAAAAAAAATGCAGCTTCATACCAACTAAATCGTATTTCAAAATTTTAATGTGTCAAGGCATTGACAATGATCTCGACTGAGAATTCAGATTTAAACGACAGGTGAATCTTTTTTACATAAATGAACGGTCATAATTTGGTCTAAGTTTGAAAACTGAAAACTGCCTGCCTAACAAATTTGAAGACCTCTGTTATTTTTCACTGAAACCAAGTCTAGACTAATTCATTTTTTTTTGTAAAATGCCACTTCAAAAGCTTTTAAGGTTCCTGTTTTAGTTTTGCTCAATACATTTAAATACTTCTTACAAATTCAGATTTTAAAATTACAGGTAGTCTTCAACTTATAGCAGTTCATTTAATGACTGTCCAAAATTATAATGGCACTGTAAAAAGTGACTTATGACCATTTTTTACACTTATGATCGTTGTAGCATACCCATGGTCACGTGATCAAAATTCAGATGCTTGGCAACTGATTTCATATTTATGACAGCTGAGGTCCTGGGGTTATGTGATCCCCTTTTGTGACCTTCTCACAAAGTCAATGGGGAAGCCTGATTCACTTAACAACCATGTTACTAACTAAACAACTGCAGCA